GAAGAGAACGATTTCAGTTCTGAACTTCGTAATTGTTTCTCGAACGTGACTTGATTTCTCTCCGTCTTGCTTCGCTCAGACGGATAAACCCAGCTGCATTTTCTGGGATCGAGTTGGAGCCACAAGAATGAATCCACCGTCGGACGGAGAGGAGGATCCTGCTGGAGATTCACCCAAACCTTTGGATCAGTACATACGGGAGGGTCAGTTTCCTATCTTTGTGAAAACAAGCCCTAATTTAGAACAATGCTAACTAGGTTTCCATGGAAAGATGCAGACCAGGAACGGCCTCCGTGTTTGAGGATTGTTAGCAGGGATGTGGCCTGCCGGTGGCCATCGGAGCTGCCAGCAGATTCGGAGAGTGAGGAGGTTGGGGAGGAAGATGGGCCAGTCCTGGAGTCTGGGGAAGGTTTGGACAAGGGCTCTGTGTCGGAGGCAGAGAGGGGGCCAGGACCGTATGCCAGTTATCAGCTGCCTTCGGAGTCAGACATCAGTGAGGCAGAAGAACAGCTGGAGCCTGTTCCCAGTGTGCGCATGCGCAGAGTGGCCAGAGGAAGGGAGGAAACTTGGGAATAAGGCCACAGGTGGACGGTGAATGGCCCCTCCCAGAGGGAATAAAAGGGGAGCGAAGGGGGAGTGGAGTTTGCAGGAGTTCGCTTCATTGGTTCGGAGACTCCTGGCCACGTTTTGCCGATATCGTCCACCTGGCCGCTCTCCAAGCCAGATAAGGTCTGTGACCGTAAATCCTCCCTTGAAAGTCTTTGCTGGGTGGGAAGGAGCAGAATTCGGGGGAAATTAATCCAAGGGGTTTTTGTCGGGACGAGGAGTCGGCTTCAGGCTCTCGGGAAGCCTCGGCCGGAACAGGGGCATCGGACACCCGGTAGGAAAGAAGGACTTCCGGTTGGTGAACGGGCAGGCGAGGTGCCCACTCAGGAACTCACCGATTCCGTTCTGTTCCTCGCTAGGCTTTGACGACTTCAACCTCTCGATCCACACGGACATGGCGTCGGTCACCAAGGCCATGGCGTCCCCGGAGTCCGGCCTGGAAGTCCGCGACCGCATGTGGCTGAAGATCACCATCCCGGATGCTTTTCTAGGTATCGGGGGGAGCCCGTGAGAGTGTGGGGGTCGATCCTCCAAACTGAGCAACCAGTGTCCCCAAAAGTAGCCCCCAAAACTAAGAACGACCCGGGGAGGACCTTCCGAGCTGAGCCGTTAATGCTTCCACCCCTACAGACGCAATCCTCGGCTTGCAACTGCCAAGCCAAAGCGGGCATTCCATTAACTGCGCGGAAGTTAATTTCACGACAGATTTGGCTCGGGTTTTTAAGTGGCTTGCTGCAGTCGTTAAGCGAAGCGCGTATCCGTTAAGCGAATCTGTCCCCCCCCACTCCCGTGGTTGGGAACAGATTCGGAAGAGGGCAGACTGCGGGTCACGGGGACTCTGCATCGTGGGAAATATGTGCTGGTTGCTAAGGGCCCAGTTTTGTTCAAGCCACTGTGAGGATGCGGCAACGGGTCACAAGTACGAAAGTTGCCGATAATTCATTTGCGGAGTGCTTTCCTCACTTGGAACGGTTGCTAAATGGACGGATGTAAGTCGAGGACTACCTTGTAGGCATAATCTTGCCCCACTGAGGACTGTGGTGTCCAGGCCTTGGCGATTTTTGGACTTGTGGACTTCAACTCCCAGAATTCCCCAGCCAGCATGGCTGGCTGGGGAATTCTGGGAGTTGAAGTCCACTAGTCTTAAAGCTGTAAACTTCGATCTCCAATCTCCAATACCCTCCGGGAAACTATTAAGGAGAGGCTGTCTTCACCCTCTTCCTCTCGCGCTTCGCTGCTCGTCCTCGACGTTAGGACCACGCTCGAGCCGGGAATTTCTCTCGCTGAGCGTGCGAAGTGAAGTGAGACTCTGTCCCGTTTTACCACCTTTCTTTCCACAGCCCTAACGCGGTTGTTAAGTGAACCTCGCTCCCCTATTGACTTTGCTTGTCGTAAGGTTGGAAAGGGGGAATCGCGTGACACACACACACGCCCCCCAGGACGCTGCAACGGTCATAAATACGAGTCCGTTGCCAAGCATATGAATTTTTATCGTGTAACCACGGGGACGCTGCAGTGGTCGTTAAGTGTGAAAGACAGCCCAAGTCCCCTTTTTTTAGTGCCATTTTTACTTCGAGCCGTCACTAAACAAAGTGTTGTAAGTTGAGGGCTACCTCCGTAACTAAGCTGAGTTGCCTCTCCCTCCTGGCCATCCCCCTCCTCCTTAACCACCACCCCCCTCATCACCCGACCATCTTCCCGTTATCCCGCCAGGTTCGGACGTGGTGGACTGGCTCTACCACCACGTGGAAGGCTTCCAGGACCGCCGCGAAGCCCGCAAGTACGCCAGCAACCTCCTGAAGGCCGGCTTCATCCGCCACACCGTGAACAAGATCACCTTCTCCGAGCAGTGCTACTACATCTTCGGCGACTTCAGCAGCTGCGAGAACTGTGAGTGTCTTGGGTAGGACGAGGACGCGTGCGTGTGTGGCCCTGCTACTTTTATCCCCTTGATTGGGCCAACTTCCTTAATAGAAGGGGGGAATCAAGGAGACGTAATATATCTTGACTCTAGAGCAAAAGGGGGGGGGGAGGAAGCTGGCTGGGGAATTCTGGGAGTTGAAGTCCACCGGTCTCCCAAGTTGCCAAGTTCGGAGATACCGTCCGATGAGTCCCCCTTCGGGGGGAAAGGGCAGCATACAAATGAAATAAACATTCAACATTCAAACATACCCCCTGCTTTACAGCATTACGTTGTGTATCACAGGAATGGAATCGAGAATTAGAATAGAGAATTAGAATAGATTAGAAATAGGAATGGAATGGAATAGAATAGGAGAATTAGGATATGGATAGAAATAAAATAGAATAGAATGTGGAGTGGAATGGAATAGAGAATTGGAATAAAGAATAGAATAGAATAGAAATTGAATAGAACAGAGAATTAGAATGAGTAGAATAGAATAGAAGAATTAGGATATGGATAGAAATAGAATAGAATGTGGAGTGGAGTGAAATGGAATGGAATAGAGAATTGGAATAAAGAATAGAATAGAAATTGAATGGAATAGAGAATTGGAATAAAGAATGGAATAGAATAGGAGAATTTAGGATATGGATAGAAATAAAATAGAATAGAATGTGGAGTGGAATGGAATGGAATAGAGAATTAGAATAAATAGAATAGAATAGAAATTGAATAGAACAGAGAATTAGAATGAGTAGAATAGAATAGAAGAATTAGGATATGGATAGAAATAGAATAGAATGTGGAGTGGAGTGGAATGGAATGGAATAGAGAATTGGAATAAAGAATAGAATAGAAAATTTAGGATATGGATAGAAATAAAATAGAATGTGGAGTGGAGTGGAATGGAATAGAGAATTAGAATAAAGAATAGAAATAGAACAGAACAGAATAGAGAATGAGAATATGGATAGAAATAGGAATGGAATAGGGAATTGGAATGGAATAGAGCTGGAAGGGACCTTGGAGGCCTTCTAGTCCAGCCCACCTCCTCAAACAGGAGAACCTGTACAATCTCAGAAAGAAAGAAAGAAAGTTCTGCGTTTTAAAAAAAATGCTTTTCTTAATATTTCGATTACATTTAATTCTTGGGAATCCAGGTGTGTCCTGCCCAGCTGCGCCTGGATAGTTCTTGTGTCTTCCCGCCCACTCCTGAATTTTCCCAGCCCGTCACTTTCCCCGCCGTTTCTTCTGAGGGCCTCCCCTTTGCTCGAAGAGCGGGCAGACAGTCCTCGCTGAGCGACTGTCTCGTTTAGCGGCCATTCGCCGGGATAAAAACATGACTTCGGGACCGAATCTTGTTTTCATCCCCGTTGTAAATCGAAGGAAAATTTTGGAAGTTAGATTGTAAGCGCGGTCACGGTGTTCGCTCAGTGGCTGCTGAATACAGCTAGTCCTCAACTTATAACGGACCATTTAGTGGCCGTCCACACGTTAACAAAGGCACTGAGAAAAAGTGACTTAGGACTGTGCTTCACACTTAATGACCGTTAGTGACCCCGCGGTCCCGTGATCAAAATTCGGGTGCTTGGCAGCGGATTCGCACTTATGACGGTCGTCGTGTCCCCGGGGCCACGCGATCCCCTTTCGGTGACCTTCTGACGGGAATAGGGCAAGCCAGATTCACTAAACCACCATTGTTACTAAACTTAACAACTGCCACGATTCACTTGGGAACTGTGGGTAAGCAAGGTTGTGAAACTCAGTTAAGAAACGCCTCGCTTAGCAGCGTCAATTTGCGGGTCGTAAGTCGAGGACTACCTGTAAGCGCTTTGTGGTCACTCAGTGAGGACTAGCTGAAATTGTGGAGGGAGGGGGGGTCACGTCCTGACTGAGGAAAACCCCTGTGATTGACAGTTGACTTGGGGTGCGATCCCCATTCTCTTTCTCCCGTCCTCTAGATATGGCCAACCTCTCGCTGAACGACAACGACGGATCCAGTGGGGCGTCCGACCAGGACACGCTGGCACCTCTGCCTCTGCCAGGGGCCACCCCTTGGCCGCTGATGCCAACTTTTCCCTACCAGTATCCGGCCCCCCACCCGTACAGCCCCCAGCCTCCACCCTACCACGAGCTCTCCTCCTACAGCTACGGGGTGGGAAGTGCTGGCAGCCAGCAGAGCGAAGGTACGTCGGGACCTCAGCCGGCTGGGGAGAATGGGCTCTGGGATCTGCTGGACAACGGAGGCTGGGAGATGGCAGGGGGTGGGGGGAACAGCTCAGAACCGGGCCCTTCCCTGTTTGGAATTGGGGAGGGGTTTCTTCCCTCGCTCTAATTTTTATATCCTTTTTAAAGTTTCATATTTGTCTTTTTTTCCTCTTTGTAAGCCTCGGGAAGGTGCTAGTCCTCATTCTTTTTTTTTCTTTTTTTTTTAAATAGTTTTTATTAAACATTAGTCCTCATTCGGTGACCCCGAGGGAGTCTTCCCAAAGTCAGGGCAGTGGTAAACCAAGTCATCCCGTGTGGCCGCCCTAATTTTACTACTTTTTTTCTCACAGCGGTCGCTAAGCAAGCCACCAAGGTTGTTAAGCGGATCTGTGGTCATTTCAGCCCCCTCATTGTTTGGATTTATTATTTATTTACTATTATTATTATTATTTGCCAGGGGAGATTTTAAAAATGTGTCCCCTGGGCCACTGACTCGTACTTATAACGGTTGCAATGTTCCCGGGGGGGGGGGGGTGTCAGATGATTTCCCTTTTCCGGCCTTCCAACGAGCAAAATCAACGGGGAAGCCAGATTCACTTAACGACCGGGTTACTGGTTCGCTTAACGGACGTGACAAGAAAGGTCGCAAAAATGGGGCGAAAATCACTGAGCAACGGCCTTTAATTATCAACGTGAATTTGGGGCTCGATTGCAGGCGTAAGTCGAGGACTCCCTGTAGAAATCTTAATTCAGAAATCCGTTGATCAATGGGGTTTTCTTGTCTTGCAGGCAGCCGCAGTAGCGGCTCGAACCGAAGCGACGGGGGCGGCCGAGGGGCCGGGCGACCCAAGGAGGAGAAGCCAGGGGCGGATTCGAAATCCGGCAGCGGCAGCGAGTCAGAATACTCCATCCGCAGCGGCAGCCAGCGCGGGGGGGCGGCGTTGGTGCCCGGCGGGGAGGGCTCCTCGCAGCGCAGCCAGCACAGCCTGGGGGGCGTCAGCGTGCGCTCCCACCCCTCCCTCCACAGCGCCTACGCGGCCCCCGGCGGAGTGCCCTTGACCTACAAACCGATGATGGTGATGATGGTGCCTCCTCCTCCTCCCCCTCCTCTTCCTCCCCCCACCATACAGCCTCCGGGCGCACCTCCGGTGCGGGATCTGGGCTCAGTGCCCCCCGAGCTGACCGCCAGCCGGCAGTCCTTCCACATGGCCATGGGGAACCCCAGCGAGTTCTTTGTGGACGTGATGTGATGGGGGACGGACACGGGCTCCGCTTCTCCCCCCCCCCCAATACCATCCATTCCCACCCAAAACCCGCCACCTTGAATGATCCAGCCTCTTTTGGGGAGAGGGGTGTCCCTCCCCAAAGGATGGACCACAAACCCTCCCGGTCCCAGAGCGACCCACTGACCCTTTGGCCCAAACGGGCTGCTCACAGCAACGAGTCGATCCCTGCGGGGCCGCGAGACACTCCCTCCGGGCTGCCTCACACTCCGTCTCGCCTTCCGCTCCGGGGATCGCTGGCCAAGCGGCTTTTTCAGGATCGGCCGTGACTCAGGTCTTCCTCCGACGTTCGTGCCTTGCTATGCTGAGACAGGGAGGCTCAGCGTTCTCCCACCAGCCTTGAAAAAAAAAAATCACCTCGTCTTCCGGGGGTCGGGGGGCCGAACCCACCTCCGTCCCTCGTCCGAGTTATCTTTCTTTTTTTCCCTCCCCCCTTTCCGAGATTTGGCTTCTGAAGTAGGGGGGTTGCTTCCTTTTCCCTTCCCTTCCTTTGGGTGGTTTGCAAAGGGGGGGGGGTCCTTCCTGCTTCTCTGCCAGGCGAGGTCCAAAAAGTCAAAATGGCCGAAACAATGGTACGCAATTCCCAATTCCGACCTCGTCCCCGCGGTGGGCACCTCCTCGTCTTGACGGTACTTTCCCGGCCTTCTCCTCGAAGGCGTCTCCGAGCCGGTAACAATGAAGGGGTCTTTTTTTTTTTTAATTGTTCTGTGTTTGTTTTATTTTTTATTAAGAAAATGTTTTTTATAGATTGTTTTTCATTCACTTTTTTGGAGGAGGGGGGGGCGTGTTAATTCCCCGTCCTTTAAACGTGTATAGGGTATCTTGTCCCAAGTTGTATTTTTAACACTACAGCCCGTCCTGTTTTTGAATTGAGGGGAGGGGGGGGTGTCTTTATTTCTTTCCTAACTTCATTTTGATCCCCTCTTTTGTATCTTCGGGGGGAGGGGGGGTCACACCCCAAATGCCACCCTTGAGGCTTGATTTTCTAGCTTTTCCGTTAATGTCTCCTCGCCTTCTTTCCTGGGGAGCCTTGGGGGGGCTGAAGGAAAACCCCAGAAGTTACAGATAAGTGAACTTGGGGTAGACTATGGGGGGGGGGGCTTTAAGCAGCACCCCCTATCTTACACACCAGCATAATCCTCTCTCGTTGCGAAAAAGCCACAAACTTTCAGGTTATTTTGTCTCCAAATTGTCTCCATGTGGGGGGGTATATTGGGGTTTTGAGCCCCCCCAGAGGCTTCTGGAGACCCCCTTCCTGCTCCCCTTTAAGGGGGCGTCCGTCTCCCCACAAAACGGACCGAATTCTCCCGCTCCCAGCCATTGGCTTGATACGGCAGAATTGGGGAGCGTGCAAACAGCAGAAAGTGGGGTTGATTTTTGTGCCTGTCCCTTCTCTTCCCCCCCAAAAAAAGAATCTGCCTCAATTCATTTCTCTCCCTCTCCCCCCCCAAAAAAACAGGGTGCAGACTCTGTATACCATGGTGCTATTTTGCCCCGAGCCCACCAAGGGTGTCTTAGAGCGATGTTTCTCGCCAGCTTGGAAGATGGGTGGACTTCAACTCCCAGAATTCCCCAGCCAGCGAAGGTTTCCCAGCATTCACTGTGGATAGAACAGACGTGGCTACAATACCTTTAGTGCATTTTTTTTTTGGGGGGGGGGTAACTTTCTTAATGGATAAGTAAATTTCTTAATAGACGGTGGGGATGCGGTAGATGTAATATATCTTGATTTCGTCAAAGTGGCAAAACTATGAATGAATAAGAGAGTTAAATGTGGGCTCGATGGCGGGACAATTCAACGGAAGATTGATAGACGGGGCTGGGGGATTCTGGGAGTTGAAGCCCACCCATCTTCCACTCTAACCCAATATTCCTCAACCTTGTCTCCTGGAAGATGGGTGGGCTTCAACGCCCAGAATCCCCCAGCCCTGTCTATCAATCCTCCGTGGAATTGTCCTGCCATCTAGCCCACATTTAACTCTTATTCATTCAGTTTTGTCACTTTGACGAAATCAAGATATATTACGTCGAACCGCATTCCCACCGTCTATTAAGAAACTTTAAGAAAGTTACAAAGGAGTTGAAATCCACCCGTCTTCCAAGTGCCCAAATTGAGAAATGCTGTTTTTTCCGAGGCATCCAATTGAGGGCGGCCACCCTTCCCACCAGATGGGGAGGACTACAAGCTCCATCATCCCCTTGGCCGTCCTCGGCATCGGACCCCCCCGACTATTTAGCCCCTCCTGTATCTCTCGGGGGTCTGTGCGCACACGTGTGGCGAAAGGCGTGTTTCGTGTGACTGTTAGCAGAATACACTTTTGTAAGGACATATTTATTTTTTAGCTCTTTTTGTGTACAAAAAGCCTTCAATTAAAAAAAATAATAAAAACTTTTAAAAGAGAAGCCATCTCATCTGTGTGTTTTGTAAAAAGTTGTGGGTGGGTGTGAGTGTAAGATTGTGTAAAATATTTATGTGTGTGTGGGGAGGGGGTTATAGTTTTGCGTTCGCCCGAATTGGTTCATCCCAAATTTTCTGACTTTGAAATATTTCTTTGCTTTAAAACATGTTGTTTTAAAATGGAGATTTAATTTTATTTTTTTTAAATTTGGTTTTTGGAAAAAAAAGATTTTATATTGACTTAACGACCACGGCTGTCCCCCAAATTTCAAAGACGATTTGAGTTTTGCCCCGTCTTATGACCTTTCTGGCCACGGTTGTTAAGTGAGTCACTGCAGTTGCTCAGTTAGTGGCATGGCGTTAAACGGATCCGGCTTCCCCATTGACTCGTCGGAAGGTCGCCAAAGGGGAGAAATCACGTGACTAGTTGCCAAGTGTCTGAATTTGGACGGCCGTGGTCGCGTGTAGGAAACATGGGTCGCAAGTCACCATTTTCAGGGCCGTTGTAACTTTGGACACGGTTGTAAGTTGAGAACTATCTATAAATTAAGATACTAAGACAGTGTTTCTCAACCTTGGCAACTTGAAGACGTCCGGACTTCAACTCCCAGAATTCCCCAGCCATCTTCAAGGGAAGAAAGTGGAATTCTGGGAGTTAAAAGTCCATCCATCTTCAATTGAAAAAAAACAATGAATTCTGGGAGTTGAAGTCCATCCATCTTCAATTGAATTCTGGGAGTTGAAGTTCGTCCATCTTCAATTGAATTCTGGGAGTTGAAGTCCATCCATCTTCAATTGAATTCTGGGAGTTGAAGTTCACCCATCTTCAATTGAATTCTGGGAGTTGAAGTCCATCCATCTTCAATTGAATTCTGGGAGTTGAAGTCCATCCATCTTCAATTGAACTCTGGGAGTTGAAGTCCATCCATCTTCAATTGAATTCTGGGAGTTGAAGTTCATCTCCAATTGAATTCTGGGAGTTGAAGTCCATCCATCTTCAACTGAATTC